TGAGTTGACATTGGTGTTGAAAATCTGGGTCTTGTTCTTTGTGCTGAGTGCAGTAGATCTCCACAGTGATTTCAAATTAACGAAAGGCTGTTTTGCTTTTCCGATCCTCGTTTTGATATCCTTGTCTGTGTCACCCGTAGTTGAAACGATGCTGCCTACGAAGGTAGGTGAACGAGACAACTTCCTTTAGGTTTCTCCGGTTAGTGGTGATTAGAGCTTGTTGTTCATACTGTTGTTGGTTGGGTATCTTCATCACCTTTGTATTCTCTACATTCACTTGAAGTCCCGTTTTCGCTGTTCTGCCTCTTCTGTCAACTTGTTAGTTTTCGCCTGTAGATCTGAGAGTTTGTGCGACATTAGACGTAAATCAACATCGGTGAAATCCAAATGTTCTAGGGTATTTTCATTGATCCAGCCAGCGTATACTCTTCTTCTCGCTCCTCACTGTTTGCTGCATGATCCAGTTCAGTCCAGTCGACCACAATCAGGAAGATGATCTGTGATAGTAGACAGCCTTTTCTTACCTACTTGGTGAGGGTCAATCACACTACCTGGGTGCTAAAATCAATTACCCACCACCGGTTGCATATCAAGCGTTGAAGAGGTGAAAAATCGATAGAATTTACATCCAGTAGGCATGAAAATGGAGAAGGCCATGGTAATATATATAAACATTATATGTTGTATATATTATTGACGTTGTAAATACACCTGTTGTATTACCACCTTTTCAATTTATGTTGAAACTGAGTGACAATTAAGAGTGGAATCTTAAGGTTTTGTACACTCGTCCACATGTACATAATTCAGGTTCTATCAAGTCACTGGTAAAAAGATATAAAAAGTGGTGACTGAAGTTATGTAAATAACTCACAAAAAAATCTTGAGGTAGATAGAAACTTCTGGCAACAATTTACAACTATCTGACATCAAACACCATCGTCTAAGGGGGTCACACTCACAATTTCACCATTTGATAAAACTGTTAGCCATAGTATTTAATCTAATGGATCCATTGTCGTACGTTTGTGATGATATCTACTAGTGGGGAGCTTGTGCTGAGTGCTGATTTAAATTCTCATACTAGGTTAAAACAACTGGTATATAATTTTTGATATCAACTACCTATTATTATTATTACTTGTCCTCTTGGGTTCCTACTGGAATATAGGGCTTCAGTAGCACGTCTCCATTCCACTCTGTTCTCTGCAATCTTTTGAACCTAGATCCACGACTGCACAGAAGCTTTCATTTTTTCCTCACACGATCTCTTCCATGTCACCCTCGGATGCCCAACTCGCCGTTTCCCATCTGGATTCCACTAGAGAGACTGGCCTGGCGTGTGATGTCCCTGAATGATCTTCTCAGTGCATGCTCAAACTACCTGTTAGTAATTGTGAATTCTTTCAGAAATTTGTAAGAGCTTATGACAGATAAATAAAATATGACATTCATGGGATTTTGAGATGATGGAGAATATTTGTAGCTCAGGTAAATGATTTTCATGCTCCTCTATTCTCTGAGCTGAATGGTTTAATAATCGTGAAACTTTTATTATCATCGGTACATCAAAATTTATATGTATTTATGTAACATGAATATTGAATGGCACATGAAGCAAAATTATTTAGACTTGCGCTACAACTCGTTAAACACTCTAATTTACTAAAATGTAAAAATAGTTGCCTTAGAGGAAAAGGTATACCTTAACAGTTAAATGTAAGTTCATTTACTCAACTATACATTACACGTAATGTGTAAGTGAATAACACTACTTAGCTTTCCAAAATCCAATCGAAAGTTGAGGGAGTAATCCAGTGGCAAACACTTAAATACACAACCATAGTTTCAAGAGAATGATGTATTAATGCAATACTACTGATAAGAATTCATAGTTTATTGCCTTAAAATGAGAATCGGAAAAGCAGGACAGGCCTTTACGAACCTTAAACCAGCATAGGAGATCTACTGCAGTCAGCATAAAGAACAAGATCCAAATTTTAAACACCAATGTCAAAAATACATCAACAGCTGACGACTACGCTCATCCCATAGTGAAGACCAGATGGCAAGAATAATAAAAATAAGCAACGAACAAGGAACTGTGGCTGGCTGGCAACGAACCAACCAGGACCTATCACCCAACAAATATGCAGAAGAAAGTGGAGATGGACTGGATTGGGCATACACTGAGTAGGCCAACTGAGGACATCACACGCCAGGCCGTTCCCTATAGTAAAATCCAAATGAGAAACAACGAGTTGAGCATCCGAGACGACGGTGACATGAAGATCATGTGGGGAAGAAATGAAAGATTGCGGGCAGTGGTGGAGCCAGGTGTAAAAGACTGCCGAGAACAGAGTGAAATACAGATGTGCAACTGAACGCCTATGTTCCACTAGGAATCCAAGACATGAATAATAATAAAATTCCTTCAAATGCAGTTATATATTTACTCCACGCAAAAAAATCAACAATCAGAAAACTAAAAAGATCATCGTCACAGTGTTAGTTTTAAAGAAATGCGCCTGTGAAGGACTTCATGAAGGAAATACAAACTACATTAGTATAAAAATTACTGACAGACTAAAAACATCAATGTAGAACCACATCACATAAAACTGCATCGACTCAAGTTGCCACGCTCCACAGTAGTACACAAAAAACAGGCAGACAGAAAAAGATTAACATCAAACTAGATAAAGTACTGTGAGACAATAAACAATCTGACGACAAAACTTAATCCAACTATTCAAGCTTTAGAAGATGTTAAGGAGTGAATGACATCTATGCCATTGTGACAAACTTCCAGCCATGTCACAAACAGTCTTCAACTATTGATTCATTTCGTTTCGAGGACCCTGACCAGACAGCCTACATCTCCCCACACGACTCAAATTAATAGTAAGAGACTTCATGGACTGGTCTGACACCTTAAACCCTCTTCCAACATAATCCAGCTTCTCCCACCATAGCAAGTCGAGGTAGGTGATGGCTTCGCATCTACAATACATGTACAAGACACCTCACCTCAGTCGCTTTCTTAAGCTTCACAACCGTGTCAATCGATTTGGCTGTCTTGTCGAGTACCCTTCACCTAACCTCCACATTGCTGACACCGTCATTCCACAAAAAGTGAGCAATACTAAAAACACACCTATGGTCAAAAACCTGTAGTCTCTTCATATCTTCTACTTCTAACAACCATTTCTCACAGAACTATAATAAAACAGAACGGACTTCAATGCGGTATTCCCATTCTTCGATAGGCAGTTGAATATCTTACCAGTCGACAGCAAAGATGACTCAAGTTGACAAATGCCGAACAAACCTGTTTGAGGTGAGGTTTCTTCAACAACCAACCCTTTCGGACTGATGCAACTCCCCTTGTAAGTGAAGTGGTCGACACGTCTCACCACTCTCATCACTCCCTATCCTCAAAGTGGGAGTAGTTACACACCAGTTGTGTAACACCATCTTACATTTCACATGTGTCAGTGGAACGCATACTTAACATAGATATTGAGATATCTGCTCAACGCATTCAGAAGATCCTGCATTTCGTCAGTGTTTTCACGTAGTAGGACAATATCGTATGTATATTTCAAGTTAACTAGGTGATCTCCATCGAGTAGGTCAATCCCTGTGGAGTCAGATGAACCTAAGGGGAATACGTATACAGTTGGCATATATAAACTTCAATTATACTACAAAGTGTTCCTTCTTGTGTAGTTCATATTAAAAGATACATCAGTACTTCAAGCATGAAAGCAATCAGAGCGCTTAGTGATCAAATATCTTTAAATGGTGAAAACCTATGCTTAACAGCCTTAGAATTAAATGGAATTTACACTACGGTTTACAAAAGTAGCTTTATTAACAAATGAAGAAAAATTGAGAAAATAACGCTAAGCCATAAAACAGTCCTGATTCACCTCGATTTTTATAGTGATCATAAACAAAAGGATAAGCGCAGTAATGATCAGAAGATGTCCTACAGCAAAGCTGACATCTCCACTTCGAACTTCTTGGTAAACGATACACAATATGAAACTGACAAATGCCCCACATATGTTACTTCCAATTGCTGATACCAATTTACGTGGATAAACTAGGAGAAGAGGAAGGAGAGCTAAAGATCAACTTGGTTATTTTGAATATGTCTTGAATAGCCTAGGGACCGGAGGAAGTAAGTAGCCTGACTAGCACAATAACCAAGCACTAAGTAGACACTAGAGATAAACTAAACGATATTAATGATCGATAATGGCTAGTAGTTGAATTCACGACATATATTTCCTCCTGGCGAGATGATGTAGTACATTTGTAGTTCAGACCGTTAACTTTATCGGTGTTGTGTTTTTTGAGTTAGATGGTTGAATTCATTCTAGACAACATTATTAGCAACACAAACTTGAGAAAGAAGTTTAAAATATTCAAAACATACATATTATGTATATCTAATATTTTCAAGTTTAATAACTAGAAAATCCAATAACCATGAGATATCATCAACAAAACAAGAGATGAAGACGAAAAAGATACTAACAAAAACTATTTTCAGTATTTCAAAGATTTGAAGTTTTCATTTTAAACTTTTTTTCCCTTTAAAAATAGAATAAAGTAAAGTAAAGCATATAGGCACTTGAAATCTCACCAGAAAAAAAGGCACATAATGTTTCCCATTCATATACATATATACACTGATTATTATCATTTGTGTTCCACCAATGAAGAAAAGATAAACACATTGTTTACATAGTCATGGAAGTATAGATATAAACAACACAGTGATAACAACAAAGACAAAAAAGGGCCAACGCATATTGATCAAAGAAAAATGTATTCAACAAAAAATAAATCAGTTAAATATAAACAAGAGAACTATATTTGATCCCTCATATTATATATATATATATATATATATATATATATATATATATATATATATATATGATTATTATTATTATAAATACAAAAGATTGGAACATTGATAATTATGCAGAAGATAAGAAAGACTTTCACTTGGTAGTGATTCATATAACCTTTAAATGATCAATTGACTGTCTAAATAATTAACTGGTTAATTGATCAACTCATTGTATCCTCTTGTCAAGAGTAGTATTAACTAGTTGATCACCATCAATAAGATTTTACTTTGATTATATAATGGAATTAATTAAGACGTTGTTTAATTCTTGGTAGAATGAATATTTGTACAAGGAATCTGAATAGGATGCTTACATTCAAATCCATACTTCCACCTGTTTCCATACGACAAGCATAATAATTTTCTTTTGGAATTGGTAATACAGTTAAATCATTCATAAGTGTATCAGTGATTTGTTTACACTGTTCATTGTCAAATTCAATTGATAAAGGTGTAAATGGTGTACAATTATGTGAACTTTTTTCTGCTTTTACAGTTACCTGAAGGTGTGAAGAAAAGTAGCAAGAGGATACCAAGTAATATCTTATAAAATATAATAAAATCATTATATTCCCATTGTTATTTACCGAGTCGAACTGATCGATCTTTAGTGGTATATGGGCTTTCACATGGATAACTTAATATATACCAGGAAACGTGAATCATGAATCGTACTATAAACCACCATCAAGCAAATATTGACATTATGAATATTCTGTCAGTATTAAGACATCCAAATAGCAGCCCATAATTCCAGCAGAGGTTGACCAATTTGACCCAAGAAAACGATGGGAAATTACAAGTATCATTAAGCATCAACAATTCCTACCCGTTGGGCAATAGATAGCCCTCATGGCTCAATAGCCTAGTGAATAACGCTGTGGCGTTTGAAGCGATTGGTGCCGGGTTCAGATCTCAGTGGGGACGCCATCATTTACTCGCGTGCATGTACATCCAGCTGACGAGTCTTAAGTAGGATTCATTGGAATTTATTGCTAGCTACAACCGAGTAAATTATATTATAAATTTCATAATTAAGGCTAAGAACTTTTATACCTTGTTAGCATTGACACCAAAAGATGGGAAAAACATCCCTTTATGATCATGACCAGACATGCATTTGAATAATCCTCGTATAAAAGCAATAAACAACGAGAGCTTAAAAGCTTTTTTCTTCCATCAAACCACATAAATAAGCTGAGACTCCATAAAGAATGAAACATTGAAGAAAAACGAACACCTAGATTCTTCGGCAAGCTGAATACAACAAACAAGCTCTATCACGGCACAAACAGCATAACATAGCCGAATACGGGTTTAACTAACAAGGAGGAATAAAGAAAACCATATACCTTTGAATCCAACGTATCTAGTACACTATCTATCTAACTAACTAACTTGCAGACACCATTCCGCTTTGTGTGCAAGAGCAGCCACGTCAGGGCTCATGGAGAGTTGTCTTCATAATTGACGACAACGAGTGGAGTTTGTCTGTCACAGTTCCTATTTGACTTCGCTATAGACGTACTACTGGACATAATATTATTAGGTAGATGACTCCACAGGGATTGACCTACTCGATGGAGGTCACCTAGTTAACTTGAAGTATACACACGATATTGTCCTACTCGTGAAGACACTGACAAAATGCAGGATCTTCTGAATGCGTTGAGCAGATATCTCAATATCTATGTTAAGTATGCGTTCCACTGACACATGTGAAATGTAAGATGGTGTTACACAACTGGTGTGTAACTACTCCCACTTTGAGGATAGGGAGTGATGAGAGTGGTGAGACGTGTCGACCACTTCACTTACAAGGGGAGTTGCATCAGCCCGAAAGGGTTGGTTGTTGAAGAAACCTCACCTCAAACAGGTTTGTTCAGCATTTGTCAAATTGAGTCATCTGTGCTGTCGACTGGTAAGATATTCGACTGCCTATCGAAGAATGGGAATACCGCATTGAAGTCCGTTCTGTCTTATTATAGTTCTGTGAGAAATGGTTGTTAGAAGTAGAAGATATGAAGAGACTACAGGTTTTTGACCATAGGTGTGTTTTTAGTATTGCTCACTTTTTGTGGAATGACGGTGTCAGCAATGTGGAGGTTAGGTGAAGGGTACTCGACAAGACAGCCAAATCGATTGACACGGTTGTGAAGCTTAAGCAAGCGACTGAGGTGAGGTATCTTGTATATGTATTGTAGATGCGAAGCCATCACCTACCTCGACTTGCTATGGTGGGAGAAGCTGGATTATGTTGGAAGAGGGTTTAAGGTGTCAGACGAGCCATGGCACTAGTACTAGTCCATGAAGTCTCTTACTATTAATTTGAGTCGTGTGGGGAGATGTAGGCTGTCTGGTCAGGGTCCTCGAAACGAAATGAATCAATAGTTGAAGACTGTTTGTGACATGGCTGGAAGTTTGTCACAATGGCATAGGTGTCATTCACTCCTTAACATCTTCTAAAGCTTGAATAGTTGGATTAAGTTTTGTCGTCAGATTGTTTATTGTCTCACAGTACTTTATCTAGTTTGATGTTAATCTTTTTCTGTCTGCCTGTTTTTTGTGTACTACTGTGGAGCGTGGCAACTTGAGTCGATGCAGTTTTATGTGATGTGGTTCTACATTGATGTTTTTTGTCAATCAGTGAGCTTACAAGTGTTAGAAATCTTGTGTCGATGAATCAACAAGAGGGATAGAAAGCTAATTAGTGGACATGCTCTTCACACATTTTATTCAACAAAACAAAGCTGATTACAAGTTATGATGGAGATTTAGCTGAGCTGTTTGACTGCACTGACAGTGTATTATGAGGTGATAGTGGAGCGTTTTAATTGTATTCCTCTTCGACGTAATAAACGATGCATACTCCTTAAAAACCACAAGATGTTAATATCTAAAGATAACTCACTGTATAGCTGTAATGCATACTGGTTGCCAAAATGTATATGAAACTTCTATTGAATAAAGAGAGATCTAGTATAATGCAAACCATCAACTAACAACATAAAATAATTTGAAAAGAAACAAATATCTACTTCAAAACATAGAAACAAAGCTGCTTAGTTTAACTACTGAGGCAAGGGATCAACAATGCCGAAGCTAAAGAAAGGTCATAAGTACAACCTCGTGTCATCATCAGTGAATCACACCTACCATGTAAGAGCTAACGAAATTACCTGACAGCTCAAAACTTTGTACTTTATGCGCTGTTCTAACCCATGGTATATGGATTAACAGTCAAATGGCTAGACAAATGAGACATCGCTCCACACAGTGAGCAAGTAAAGAATCGAAGTTATTCACAAATCAGACATGTTAGTTGGTTGGAGGCAATCGGCAGGAAGTCCTGGACCTAGGTTTCGTGCTTGTTGGCACTTGTCAGCAAGGCGTATCTGTAACCTCGACGGAACTGATGCTCACATGAGGTTCGAACCCGCATTACTCAGTGTTGCAGTCGGCGACTTTACCGATGAGCTATTCAGGCCACGATTGACCTCCTGTAGGACTGGGTTACATGTACTGATTGTTCACAGGAGTGTAACCAATTTCATGTTGTCTAGTCCTCCAATCAACCAACATCTACTAATGTGCACCGCAACGTTGAGCCTCCTAGCTTGGTGGCCACATTGCAGATATGATCGATAGGATTCGGTTTGCGATGAGGACTAGACAACATGAGATTGGTTGCACTCCCGTGACCAATCAATACAAGTTAGACATTTTATGTGAACATCTCCTACATATGACCGGTTTTCGCAACTACTTAAAAATAATGTTAATGGCTCCATTTTAGTCTGTTCATTAGAAATGTCACACAGTGAAACAGCAGTATGTACTAGATAAAGTTTCAGATATAATTTATTGTCTATAGTCATATCAGGTAACTCCATAACTTTCAGACATTGGTTGTATAGTCCCAATTTTCTCTCTTACTTTATGATGATACGGGTAGTAGTTTTTCATATATCTGGAAAACGTGCAAAATCGTTTCTATGACGTGTATTTGGTGTCACTCTGATAAAAAAAAGGTTCGGTTATCTATCTCTCCCTCCACCCAATTAGGCTACCTTTTAATATTGTCGCTCTATCATATCTTATTTTATGCAACAGCATGCGTAGCTACAGTCCAGTTTTCTTCGGCATTCTTTATCTTATCAAGATCTGCTAAGCTTTTGTCCTTTCGCTTTCCAGAGAAGAGTCGAGCTGTGGCTTATTGGTCTACGAAGTTGACTTACAACCAGCAGCCAACAGTCAGTGGCTGTCGCCAATGGCTGAACAGTCATATGGTGTCATTATCTGTTGCACAACAGATGTGGCTCATTGCCTAATGTATGAATATAGACGGGACTGCTGAGAAAGCTTATTTAGTTACTTGCCAGAACATAAGAATTTAAACGTCGAATCTGACTGACTGATAAAATCAACGTAGAACCTCACACAAAACTGCATCGGCTCAAGTTGCCGCACTTTATAGGAGTACACAAAAAACAGGTGGATAGAAAAAGACTGATATCAAAGTAAATAAAGTTGTGTAAGACAATAAACAGTCTGATGATAAAGGTTAGTGCGACTATTCAAGCTTCAGAAGATGTTAAGGAGTGAATACATTTGTGACATTGTGACCGATTTTCAGCCACTGATTTCTATCTCGCGGACCCCAGTTAGGTAGACTACACCTCCTTATGCGGTTCATGTCATCGACTGATTCCGCTGTTACCCTTCACCTAACCTCAACAAGGTACCTTCATCATACGCGGTAGTGCTACAAACACATATTTAGCCAAAAACTTCCAATTTCTTCATATCTCCTACTTTCGACAACCATGTCTCACAGTCGTATAATACAACAAAGTGAACAACAACGCATACTAATCGCTTAAGGAGTAGTAGTAGGATATCTCGCTAGAGACAGAGGTGATGCAAGTTGAAAAATACCGAACAGCCTCCTTGTATTCCAGCTTAGATTTTGTCAGCCACTAATCTATTTAAGCTAATGTAAGTGAGGTGGTCAACGCATTCGAACATTTCACTCCCTATCTTAAGGTTGAGAATAGCTGCAGACCAGTCGCGAAGCCTTATCTTAAATCTGGCTGTTGTTACTCCAAATGATAACTAGTCATAAGTTCATACATGGGTGTCAGTTTTAGGAGTGAGCTTTGATTAGGGTCACACACTTGCTTGTTACTCCACTTAGCCAGATACTACCAGGTCAAGAAATACTTGGAATTTAAAACTGAAATGCATTTAACAAACAGGCATACATTCATGTAGTAGATAATGAGCCAAACCTTTTACATGAGGGCTAGTGATACTACCTGATTACGAAAATGCTGGTAGAAGCAACAGTGTTTGAACCCATGGCTCACTGCTTTAGAATTGAGTGCCTATGCCGATGAACTACACCTCTAGAAATATAATAAGTGTCGGTCGCTGATAAGCATGCATATGTTCCAATGTCTGTCAAAGGGTCAATATCTGATCGATAAATCCCCTATTAGGTTTGAAACCTGCAGAAAAAAGAGAAATTAAGAGAAAGAAAAAGAAAGTAGCACATATTGAGTTCAGAATCTTGAAAGGTAAAGGATATGATTTAGTTATTATCTCAGATGAACTACCAGTTTCTAGCCGTAAGTTTGGACTCACTCTTTACAATTGGTTTCATGCCCCATGATAATATCATCAACTCTTAAATATCTCACGTAATATACGACTTATTAAGTGAATATGAATTTCATGGATAAATATCACTTACATGAAGCTACTATTCATCGGTTTCATTATTCGACTTCAAGTCAGTGGATAATGGCTTTAGGTTTTATTTCACCTATCAAAGTCTAGACAGCTAGCTCATACCACTAGTATGCAAACGGAAAATGTGGCCGAAAGCATGGTATAGGAACTTGAACTAGGTTTTCTGAGTTGCTCTACTAATGGAATGCTTGACGCTTAAGTGTTTTTCATTTAGAGTTAGTGCAAATACAAATAAAATTTAACAGCACCTAGAGATGATCTATCATAGAATGCAATCTTGATCCAGATAGTTCAAATTTATATATTTCTAAAGAAACAAAATATTGTATACATAAATCAATATTCAATTAGTCACCATATGAACTTACACTAAAGTGATACCATAAGCGTTTCGATTTTGTCCAACTATATGAATTGTCTAAAGAAAGGACATACATTCCTGCTGTTTCAACCCTAAGCGTTCCTTGAACAATCTTTTCATTTGATGAGACACGTTTAGCTGGAACAACTTCAATTAACTGTTCTGAACTTGAAGTTGAATCATTCATAACTTCCTCGTTATCAGTAGAAGGTTTTTTCATCAACACACAAACTGCGATATCGTGAGCTTCACATGAAACCCACCAATTAATCTCATCCGTAACTGAAACCGCTCCAATATAAATATCTCTACGTGAAGCTGGACCGACTTCAGCTAAACTCAAAGCTTGACCACAGTCTGTAAGATGCTTCACCTCTTCAGGGGTTTCATTCTGCTTTGATATGGTTGGTTTAACATCTGGTAGCTTCTTCCGAAAAAAAGAAGGATGAACAGAACCACCCCATGATATTCTAGATGGACACTGAGGATCACCATTCGGATCAGTGATTTTCCCACCATAACAGGCTGGCAATCCAGTAGCATCAATGCTTGAAGTAAGGCAGGTCGGTAGTCTGATTTTAAAACCTGGAAAATGATATGGAAGCAGTAATCACGTTTCATAATCGAATAAAGATGAATAGTACCTGAAATATTTGTCGAACACATTATCATCTATAGTATAAAAACACTATAAATACAGGGGTACATAATGAACATTGTAAAAATTATAGTCATTTCTGTTTCTAAGTAAGTTTATAAGTGTTTTGGAAACTCAAAATTTTGTAGTTCTGACATCCTCATGGAAAGGACGAAACCAGATACAATAGGGCTAGATTTCGGCAGCAAATAGTGATTGTTATTCGAACCAATGGCTAGATATTAGCCAGCTGAACCGTTCAAATAAGTGTTTTTTCCATGGATGCAACAGATTTTTATGATGGTTCACCACCAACCTATCTTTCCTAGAAAGTTCCACGACTAAACCTTTTTCTCAAGTTAATCTTCACCTTGATAACTTCTGATTGTTTCCTAAACCCAACACCTCTGTCTCTTTCGGCACCCTTTAATGTTGGTAATCGATGGAAAACATTTATATCAGTGACCTCAAGTTTCTCTCGCTCCTCGTGTTCAAAACCAGGTCAAATGAGTGTTTGAGTATCATTAATTTCGGGTAGGGCTTTAGATATCTTTTCATCTGAAGATAATTTCTAACTCAATGCAGCATCACATTAGACCCATATGAGTCGCCGTCGTGTTCTAATAAATCCCTGATTAGCTACACATCGTATACTTTTAAAGCGATCATCGACCCCAATTAGCTTTACATTTCATGCACCGATATAGACGTAAACATTTATGCACTCAAAGTAATACATGACTGGAGTTCATGTACGTACACAATAAAAGAGTGGCCGATTATCTCCAGTATCAACAAATGAAATACTACGTAGATGTAAAATCACAGCGATTATGTCGATAACTATAACGTTACACAAAACTCGAAGTTAGTGCTGAGCAAGAGCAAATAACCACTTAAAAGTGACATTGTAGAAGTAGTTTACCGGTATGAACTCTGATCAGTAACACGTTCCGCCAGCAAGATCAAAATGATGTCATCAACGAACTACTGTTATGCTCATTTATAATCGAGTTTATCAGCAGTGTATTTAAGGAGATTTAGATCAGAATTAACAAACTCAATCTTGTCACACACAGGTAAAATTATGAGGTAAATTACATTTTTGATTAATATTTCTAACACGTGAATTCCCTAGGCTTTATATAAAACAAGTGAAATGCACCTATAGTGTTTAGACTATAATAATCTAATTGATCAAGACTAATGTTCTAAGCAGGTGTTGCTCAACTCCCTGTACTGGATAGTAGAATTTCATAAGATAAATTTATGTCAATAATACCATTTAAACCTACTCTTTAACATTAGACGGTTACTTAATACGCCAACCATAAAATACCACTGTACAGGTTGAATGGATGATATTTTCGGTAAAAAAGTGTTTTCTCTGAATCTTTAAGTGAGCCGTTTGATTTACTTGTCATTCTGTTCTATTGAGTTGAATCTCTTTATTTCACTTACGTCAAAATCCCTCCATCAAATCAACTGACATATGTAAGATTTCCTCCAAAATCCTATTTTTTTAATTTTTTTAGGTTGTAAACAGCTCAAGTGGTTCCCTGAAATACAATGACATACTATTGTGCTGCAATGGTTGTAATTATCTCGTTTGTCCACCTTTTAATAACCAAACGTAATGAGTCTATCATGAATTATCTGCATACATGATAATGTTGAAAAGAAGTTAGATAGATAGTGAGAATCAAGGGTCTTCAGATTACCAGCTCAATGCTTCAATGGCTTATAACTCAATTTCATAGTATTACGAATCGTATAACTCGATTATGTAACATATTAGGACGTTTAACGATGTACATGTACGTTTAGATGTAAAAAGAAATAAAAGGAATTAAAATATGCAGCTGATGGGGATGAAAAATATACTTAAATGGCTTTAAAAAGTGGATTCTAGTGCTACAATGAGTGTAGTTAATCAGTTAATATCAATATGGAACCTGGCAATACTGTGCTCCAGTTTAAGTTGCCAAATCCTACATCAGCGTATCGAGGTAGATGGTACTAAGATGAAAGATGAACAGATGGAATGGTGTTATATTTTGGTCTGGCTATTCTTAAACATTTTCTAGCATAAACCTGCTTCAGTTGACATCGTAAGAAGAGGGTAAATAGTGACTAGGCATGCGTAACACATGTCCTAGCCATGTGAGACGATGAAAGTTAACCACCTCATTAACTAACTTACGTATTTTACCTAAGACGCTCTGCCTGACTTCTACGTTACTAACTTAGTGGTTTCACAATACATGGTCATTTTCCAAACATAGTCAAATGGAAATGTAATGCGAAAAGGAAAATCCTTCTATTCCAGTGCACAAATTAGGTAATTACGATTAGAAATATGATAATAAAATGATTCAAAAAACTTACGTGAATCTTTTCTTGTGTAAGTTTGCTTAGAAGAGGTTTAAAGAAGTTGAATATAGTTCCAAATATTGGTGGAGCATTTATCACGTAACAGATCCGCAAAACTTCAGGATAATTTGCTTCCAGTACTGTCATCATTTCAGAAAATACAGGGATCCAGGATGGATGCATATGTTTCAAGCTTAAACCTTTCATATCCAATATAAGTGTCAACTGGTCAATGCATTTGTTATGTTCCTTAGACTTTTCATAAAAAATTTTTTGCGTAATGTATTCCAAGAAATAAATTCTACTTTGAATAAATTCTGTATTTGTAGTGGCCTTCATAAAACCACCTGGATCGAATCGACCAACAGGAGCACAATATAGTGGATAACCTTCCTTATCCTCACCACAAAATCCACCAGGGAAGTATTTTTGTATCATTTCTGGAACTGTATAGCGGTCAATGATTGTATGAACCTTTATACATGTGAAAGGTAATATAGTCGGACTATATTCATTTGTACAACAACGAATAAGAAGTAATGAAATGAGAAAGTGTTACGGGTTCATAATATTGTTTGTCCTATGTACATATCAAGAAATAATTTCCTCATTATAAATGGAAACTTAAGCCTCACCTCAAATAATGCATCTATCCTGCCATGACCTGACACTTTTCTACTGCTCTTAGTAATTGAATTGAAATGAGCCCAGCAACCAAGCGCATTTTCCAGCGGTAGGTAATGAGTCACACATATTGTGTAAGGGTTGGTTACACTACCTGGCTGCCCAGCCATCGATAGGTGGCTTCTACCTGACACTGGGGTCTATTGATTTAGGTTTCCAACTGACAAGTGATGGGTTGCGGGTTCGAAGGCCGCTCCACCTACCAAGGTCTGGGTAAGTAGGTAATATGACTGACCGTCTTACAATAAGTGTGGCTTATTGCCTGCAGCACGAGTGTGCGCAAGGTTGCTGAATAGATCTCCATTGCAGTTTCATCTTCTCGGCAGGTGGAGCAGGGTGCGAACCCACGACTCATTAGTCGGATTTCATGTCTAGACAAAAGGGCAACATATGCACAACCACTTTTAAAAAAACTTATAGAAAAGTGCAACTTATCATCAATTCTCAGTACAAGCTGTAACCACTGTTAGATATTATTACTGAAGTCAGTACGTTTTTCCCGCATATTTTGAGTAAAAATAGTCCTAATTGTTTCAACAGTCAGGAGAACTAACTTCAGTTTCAAGATTGCACACCATGTTTTAGAAAATGATCAAACAACAGCTGATAGAATAGACATCAATGTAGAGCCTCACATGACAGTTCAGCTTGCCACAATTCGCAATGACAACAAAAGTGAATACAAAGAACAGATATCGAAATGAAAAAGGGTGAGCAGGCCGAGAACAGAAGTTCAGGATGTTCGATAACTTGAGATCACTGAAGTTTTAGCCCTTGTTAACACCAATCGCCGCGATGTTTCCGAAATTTATAGAACTAATACCACTTTAGAGATGTTTGCGATTTTCAGAAAGATAAGCAGTTGATGTGATGACTGGATATGATTATGAGCTATGACTTAGTGTGGCTCGAAAATCCTAGTTATGCAGTTCGCACCTTTCTCAACGACCTAGATTAACAATCTGTAAAATTTCTGTATTACCGCTGTGTTTTAGTTTGATTAATATTAACCTTAACTCAAATTCATTCTGGCAACACCAATGTTGCACTTCCGCATAAATCGTAAAATGATAGTAAAGGCAAAGGATTGAGTGAGACAGAAAAGGAATACGAGAACACATCACATATGATACGAAAGTTGGAAGCATTACATGGTCCTGATAGATTTTGAAACAAGTCATATAGTCTATAGTCACTGATCTCCAGAACCTCAAATACAGTTCGATAGGTTCAGGAATTTGTATCTTGATCGAGTCTGCATCTATTATAAAACACTTCTTTCTGAGTAATTTAGGTCAACAAATGGGTTTTTTAGCTAAAATAGGAAAGTCTGAGAAATTTAAGCTGTAGTAGATTGTGAGGCATACATACTATGTAACGGTTTACGACAGTAATTAGATTACCAAATCATGGTGTTGAAATGGATGGATTAGAACCGATAGCATAAATTATGTTTAGACCAGTGGGTACCAAACCCGTTGGGAAGTATAAGTGACAAAAGGAAGTAGCTTTGAAGAACTTTGCAAGTTCAAAATTTACACGGTTTATACAGATATTTCTTACATTAGAGTAGTTAATCAACCACACGAATATGATATCAGTAAAGTTGCACTAAGAAAGCATCCACTTGAAATCACAAATTATGTGGCAAGATCGTTTAGTGTAATGATGAAATGTACTCGTGTGTTATGTGCAATTAAAAACTATTCAAGCCAACATACAGTATTCAGTGGATATATTGACTGTGGCTCATTGGTTTAGACTGCTAACTTTCAACCAGTGGGTCACGGATTCGAACCACGCTCCAGCCACCAAATTTTGAGCAATCAGGTAGTGCTATTAGTCCTCATAATATGTGTGGCTCATTGCCTACTGCACGAGCGTGCATCTCGTTTCTGAGTGCTTTCCGATTTCGATGAGCGGAAAATTATATTAGACATATTACGGTGAGGATAAAACAAACCAGGCTCATCGGCTTATAAATTGAATAGGCCAACAGAGAAGTGTTAGTTTGGTACCGTTTCTATAGGAGATACGTTTGGTCAAAAGCAACAGCTTCCCGCTGTTAACCAACTGAATACCAAGTGTCAATGCTTAGAACACTTAGGAGGCAAGGATAAAGATAGGCACCATTCACGCAAACGAACCCACCTGATTACCAACATTTGGTACATGGAATGGATGATAAAACCGAAGCCTACTATCAGAATGGATAGACTGAAAAACCATAGTTTGAGTCTGATAGCCTATGAGAATTATGTGAACTAAGATATCCCCAGTCGACGCGCGTCGACTGTTAACAACCGTTTAAATTTTAGCAGCAAGAAGATGACTTGAGGTGATCACCATTTCCTGCATACTAGATTCCCTTTTTCTTTAGTAGTGAATGCATATACTGAATGCTCTTACTACAGTGTCGAACATTGCTTCTGTAAGAACCCGTATACAGATGAAACAAAGGTGAGGAACCACCCAGGTTATTTCTGAGTCTTTTAAGCTTTATCAGTATAAGCTGCAAGTACTTGTAACGGTACATAAGTTGAACAGAAACCACAGTGCATAGTAGTAGCTATAACTAGTTATGGAGAAGCCATCAACAACTATAATATGGGTCATTAAAAGTACAATCTGCAAGAGTGATTATACCTTGTTATGAAGTAAAATCTTGCTATAGGTCAAGCTGTTTATGAGTATGCATCGGAAATTTTAGGCATGAACTGCATTGATCGCTCGAGAGTACAGATCATGTTACATGTTTCGTACTGTAAACAAGGGGTCGACTTTTTATCCAATAATGTTTGGTTAACAATGGGTAAATTAGCGTGCAGCCCACATTCTCTAGGTTTCCAAAACTTCATCAACCCACATCAAATAAATGAATGGCTTCAGCCACCTGATGACTGGATCAAACTTATAAGCTTGATAATATGACTTAATTAAGCTAGTCAGTAGATATTTTACATGATATCCTCACGTTGTTCTTTATTTAAACCGTACCGCAAATTCGGTGCCTATATAAATAGAATATATAGAGACTAACCTCATGAATTTCTCGCCATTTTATGTGAGTACATAACATATTCTCTGCTTCGTCTATATCCCAATTACGAGCACGTAACCAACGAATAAGATAACGCTTAGACCTGCACACATCGAGTGAACACTTGAGCATTCGTTCGTAAAACTGCCGCAATATCGATAATTCCTCATCTGACAAGCTGTCTTCAAGACCAACATCGTACTCCGGTGACCACATCAGGTTTGCGTATTGAATTTCCGCTTCGAAACCAGAAGACCTTCCAATATCCAATATCTGTTTAACGAGCTTGTGTACACCAGTAGATTTCTTCCTGCTCGCTTCTTCGTATTGCGGAACGGTTCCTGGTCTTTAGTGGATTCCGATGCAGTAGATTCAGTCTCTCGTCTGCTATAGCTATGATATACAGAGCAGAAGGTTAAGTGTTGGTTAGTTTAACTGGGGTACAGTTGGCTTCTTCACATGTCGAGTTCAAACTTCGTGTTGTAGAATTAGTGAACAGTGATTCCTTGGGTTCTACGTCTGTCTTGTTGGAATACATTCCGAGTTTGGAATGGTCACAACTATCTTCCCCGTTCTGAAAAACCTGAAACGATAGAGATTCGATTAATTAATTAATCTGGTCTCAAGTTAGTATTACTGCATCTGATCTGGGGAAGGCTTCTCGAATACAGGCCGTCGGTACCATAGGACTCGAGGTGTGCTCCTAACCCCCTTTTAAAAGTATCAAGGGATGGGGCCGTAACAACTACTGAAGGGAATGAGTTCCACGGTTTACAGACTCTAACTGCAAATGAGTTAGCACGGATCTTTGTACGTGCTCTTTCATGCTCTATTCTTAACGGGTGACCCCTCGGGTCGCTTTTCCGACCAAAGTTTAGAAGGGATCTGTTGGGATGGAGGGGATTATGGGCGGTATGGTACATTATGATTATATCCTCTCTGATCTTCCGGTATTGTACTGGATGCAGCCGAAGAGCAACTAAGCCGTCTGGGTACAGTTTGTGCCGCAACCTAATCACTTTCTTTGCAGCTGTTCTCCGTACGCATTCTAGAATGTCTATATCCTTGTTCAAGTACGGGGACATCACAAGCGAATGTACACAGCATACCTTGTGGTGAAAAGAAAAGGAGTTAGATACCTTAAAGTTCGCAAGAGGAACCCCAGGATTGCACAGGCCGTACTGGCTGCAGGGCGACAGTGGACTGAGGCTCCTAGCGTCTCGTCTAGTGTAACTCCCGGATCTCGTTCCATGTTAGAGTGATAGATATTTATTTCACCCAGAGAGCAAGAACTGGGACTGCCTATATGTTTGTCAACTGTAATAATTCGACACTTCTTCGAGTTGAGAGGAAGCAGGTCTTCTGTAGTCCAACTACGGATTTTCGTAACGTCCTCCTGGAGGACCGAAATATCTGTTGGCTCCTGTATTTCCCTTCAGATCTTCAAATCATCGGCATATAATGGTGAATGTGAACTAAGGACTCTCGGTAGGTCATTAATAAAAGCAAGAAACAGTAGCCGGCCTAGTATCGATCCTTGAAGCACACCACTCAGCATCGAGGACCAATTAGACTGAGAGCAGCCAACTCTAACTGACTGCACCCCGGTGTATAGATAATCTTTAAGCTAAATTAATAATTTTCCTCGTACACCCATGGGCTGAAGTTCCTTACAAAGCCGGTTGTTCGGACTGGTCGTTAGGGAGAGTTAGGGATAGTGAGGAGAAAACCCAGAGAGAAAAATTCGTGTGGGCAAAAGGGGAAAGAAAAGTGAACCGGTGGTGCAATCTACTTACACCCAAGATAGGTGGAAACGGGTGTAAAGATATAAAGAACTTGGGTGGGTAAGACTATCTCATGGCAAGTGGAAGGGATGAAAAGAGCTTAGAAGGTCTCAGTAGAAAGAAAACTGGCTGTGAAGGTGAAATCGTTGGTGTGACACCAGCTGATTTCTTCTGTTTAGTTCGTATTCCGGCTACATGTGGATAGACCGTAGGTCTGTGCGTGACTGTCTAGCCTTCTCTTGAGGCTTTCAATAGATGGTGCGGGGACAACCCCAACTGGTAATGCATTCCAGTGCCCGCAGACTCTGAGGGGGAAGTGCGAACGCACATGAGTCTTGACCTTTGGTGGGCTATTCTCTTAGGGTTTCCACTGGGATCATCATAGCGGCCACTCAGTAGTTATTCTCTGTTGGGTTAACTTGGGTTGTTTCCCATTTTGTAAGCCATTTTCAAGTCGCCCAGTAACCTTCGGTAGCCAGGACAGTATAATGGGTCTGTTACAGTTGGGATTCTGTCTGTCTCCTTCTTTGAAGATGGAAGAAAGGATCGCCCGCTTCCACCTCGTGGGAGCTTTTGTTTCTTCAAGGAGTGAGGGAAGAGATTTGCAGAGTGGGCCACTTAGGGTACTTGCACATTCTTTCAACACAGATGAGCGGATGTCGTCGCACCATGGGGATTTTCCCGCGCTCAGCTTTGATAGCTTGTCCAGAACAACAGCGCGAGTTATCTGGATTTCGTGTAGTTCCGCAGCGTCGAGTGACGTTGGGGGCTGTTCATGCAGTTGGTATGCCTACTCTCCTGAGTGAATGTTGAGCTGTGTGTCAAATGTGGTGCTCAACGTTTCGGCGATCTCCTGTTCAGAGAGGTTTTCTCCGTTCGAACCTTTCATGACGCATGCTACTCGGCTTGTCGATTTTCTGTTTGCCATGAGTCGGTGTGGGTTTTTGGGGTTTACCTCAAGGGTCTTGGCAGAGTTGGACCGGAACGACCTCATGTCTCCCTGCACCCTGGTTTTTCTTCTATTCCACAGAGTCATGCATACGTCAACATCGTCTTGTTCTGTAGAGTCTCCGTGTGTGCCATGCCCTCCTCTTGACTTTTAGGAGGCGCTCAGCGCCCCGTTTTAGACACGAGGTTTACTTTCTGGGTGTTGTTACCAACAAGGAGACGTTTCGCGAGATCGCCGCATTGATGGTTTCCCTTACCAGCTCCCGGTGCTGGGCAACCGATAAGGATCACCAATCCACTGGCAATGGGGCTCTCGGTGGGCTTTGGTTCACTCCTCCATGGCTTGCCCTGTTGTATCCGACGTGAGAGCGAGGTCCCTCCCACGATAACTGTGCACTGATTGCCACGTCGAACACTACCATGGCGTGATCGCTACTTCCAAGAGCAGTTTGAACCTGGACGTTCTCAGCTAGTCGGCAGATAATCCAGTCTAGATGGCTTGCCATCTGATCCCCAGCGGGTGCTGCCGCTAACTTTTTCGTGTAGTCCAACCATTTGGATGGTATTTAGCAGGTTACGATCGAGCCTTCGGCCCGCAGTCGTGCCGCCTTGCACTAGGCTGAGAGTTGGAGAGTTGAAGTCACCAGCTATTAGGATCCGATCATGCCCCAAAGTCGACACCCGGGGATATTACTTGGATTACTTTCTGGCAGTGCTGCAAGTTGCTGTTAGGGGGCCTCTAGATTCCTTCAACCAAGCACTTAGTGTGCTTGACCGTGAGGTAGCACCAGATAGAGTCTGGGAGCTCTGTCAGTACAGCGTCAGTGGTTTGTTCACTTTTGAACCAACTGTTCACGTATCTTGCAACCCCCTCCCTCCGTCCTTGTGTTCTGTATCTCTCCTGAACAGAAACATATCTTCTGTGCTAACTTCGGTGTCATCAGCGTCCGGTGATAACCGTGTTTCCGTCAGGATTATGATTTTTGGCGCAACATCAGAACGGAGGGAGTGGAGCTCTGACATTTTACCTCGGAGTCCTCGCGCGTTGGTGTAAAGACACTTGGAGTTGCTCCTCGTAACGTAAGATGTCTCCGGGTTAATTAGTGGCACCGTTTTGGATGTGAGGGTTTTCACTGACTGGCCAGTCCCAATCAAACTGGCCAGTTTAGATTTTTCCCCTGTCGACTGGTACGGCCGGTGTTATATGGAGGTTGCCTGTTTGACCCTCAGCGCGTCGTTTTAGAGTGATGGTGGCCTGGGCACTGGGGGTAACTAATGTCTATCGTCATCGCAGTGTTCTCGGTCTGCTTCCATGGCAGCGAACATTCCTGCTTGTGGTGCTCTTGACTTTGTATCGCTTCTCTAGCACTCTGGTAAGAACTGGGGTTCGAAGTTGACAGCCATTAGTCTGCGTGAGGTCCTGTTTGTCGAATGCGAGGGGCGTGGCGGTCTGCCGATTGCCACTACTGCAACTCCACTCAGCTCCGTCCGCGCTGATGGCCACTCTCATTGTTGGGTGTCACCTGTGTGATTATCACCTGGGGTACCGGTCGCCATTCCAGGTATTCCGTGTATGACCATGGTTGTAGATTTTAGAGGGTCAGCTGCTTCTCGGGATGTCTTTCTTGACACCCATGAACGATCGGGTCTAACTCTAATGTTGGACGATCTGTTGATAACCAAGGTGTATGACAGTAAAAGAAACCTTCGAGCGTCTCTAGTTGAGCCTGGAGTCACTTCCACTGGCGGAGGCTTCCCTGCGGGGGAATAGGTGTCTTCGCACAGACGACAGTTTTGTCTTGAGAACGCACTAACCCAGAGTGACACAAAAGGAGCTCCACTGCTGCCTGTCAAACGTGTCCTTATGCTCCAGAAAGCTATCATTGCAGACAGCGACGTTGTATAGGATGACGGAGCCAGATTGGTCACTGATGCCAACATCATCCGATCATACTGGTTCTTTCTGAAGGATAATTCGAACCCTCTTCTCTACCGTAACCCATTCGTTATGTTGTCCGCTGGCCGCTGTCGCTGATGTGGTTCCATGGGCTTGGGGCGGATGTGGTTACCGTTGGCGTAGGCCGTGTTTTGTTCGGCCTAGAACAGCTCGGGTTTTGACCTTCGGTAGGCCATTACCGAAATCCCTTGGAGAACGAATCTCCCCCATGATAGTTGTTTGGACTGACACCTGCTTTTTGGTGGTTGCTGCAAATTTACCAGCTACTTTGATTAAGCCTGAAGCTAGGTGCGGTCTCAGACGGCACTGGGAGCAAATGAAGCCAGAACCACCTACATGTGTGGCGCTTCACAAAGGCATAGCACTGATGTGGTACTTCTTTGCCACATCGACAGTGCATTCACTTGTTGCACTCAAACGCTGCATCACCTTGACGGGTCAAATTATCTACACTGTCTTTCAGCGGCCAACATCAAAAGTTGAAGTTCCGCTCATGTTTACTTCCTGACAGTTTTCGTAGGACAGTG